TACATATTAGGAAACAGGTACAATGTAGTGGGATAAGCATTCTGAATGGAGATCAAAAGGCTTTGGGGGTTGGTAGTTAGAGAAGGCTTCCTAGAAGAGCTGACATTAAAACCTAGGTAATAAATAGACCTTAAACAGGTGAAGAAGAAGGAAACGTATATGCCCTATCAGCAGGTAATAGAGGTGAAAGGATACATCTGTTCTAATCCATTTTGTTGCTAATAAGAGACACTATTTGAGTCCAAGTAATTTATCACAGGAGTTTATTTAGCTCATGGTTTGAAGGTCTAAGGTCCAGGGGCTGCTTCTAGTTAGGATCCTCTTGCCAATGGATAATAGGTCAGAGGGCGTCGCATGTTGACAAGCAAAAAGCTTGAGCAGAGCAGAACATGTCTATATCCATGTGTCTCTGCCTCATTCCCTTTTCTTATAAACCAGTTATAGTTCAATCTTGGGGCCCCAACTCTAATGCTTAATTATTTTCCACCTTTCAGTACCATAATTAGATTGTTTCCTCTTAATACCTTTACAAAACAACCAAGTTCAGCACAAGAAATTTGGGGGGGGGACTCAGTTATGGCAATGGCTAAGAGGAAATGAAAATAGCTCAATGTTACTTAATTGTATGTGAAGGAAGGAGGGGGAAAATCCAGAGAGAGCAGAGAATTGGGCTGGAATTGTAAAGAAAGGTCAAATTATGCAAGGCCTTGAAGCCATTTACAGGTGTGCATAAAATCTTCAAACAGCAGTGGATAAGATCTTAATGGCTTTCCAGCAGGTGGCATAACGGTTAAGGTGCTAGATTCCCACACAGTTGACCACAGTTCAAATTCCAGACCTGGCAGCTTGAAACTCACATCAGGCACATGTGTGTGTGGTCAAAATTCCAAAAGGAGAAAGAAGGACAAGGAACTGTGGCATGGCCATCCTTTCTAAGGGGTGACTTTTCATTTTCTGTCTCTCTGGTAAGTACCTGCGCCCTACAGAAAAAATCTCTTTCTCAAAAATAAATAAATAAATAAATAAATAAATAAATAAATAAATAAATAAAAATAAGAAAGATCTTTTTTTTTCTATCCTATTTTCCTTTTTTTTTAAAAAACATTTTTTTTTTGAGAGGTTTTTGCTATAGGGCATATGTGCTTGCCAGAAAGACAGAGAGAGACAGAAAG